AGAGAAAGGGCGAGAAAGAAGAAAGGTGGAGGAGGAAGAGAAGGGAGGTTGGCGAGGAAGAAGGTGCCGGCAGCCATAGCCGACCTAGAGGTTGACTGGGCGTTGACCAGAGGGTTGATCGGAGCGTTGACCGGGGTGTGACCACGATTTTGACCAAGCTGGAGTTGGTATAATCTCGCCAAGCCCTTAGCCTATCCCCTCGCCCTATGGATGTGCACTTCCCTATGGTACTTGCTGAGTTTGAGTCTGTCTGTCTCTTCTTTCTGCATTGAGTCTCTTCTGTCCAGGTGATAGGACTCTGTGTATGAAGGATAGGGCCTCGATGACCAAACCCACACGGGCTGAGTAGGGCTAAAGACTGTGTCTGATGACTCTACTGTCCCGGAGGACACGAACCCTCCCAAGGACCGGTACTGACCGGCGGGCTGCTCGGTGTGGCACGGTAGGCCCAAAATCCGAGTTGTGGGCTGCACAACGGGCCGTCTAAGTCTTGAGAGGATCTGCTGACCGCGTCGTCCTGTTTGCGGCGTTAAAGAATTCCTGAGGAGTTACGGGGGATCTCCTTAAATGCCTCCTGGTCAGCAACAGATCTTGTAGTGACGACTGTAGTATTAGAGTCCAGGCTAGAGACCATAGTTGACAGGGTTCTATACGGATCCTGTGGTCCATAGACTGAGTCAGTCTTAAGTAAGTCGGTCAGGGGGGACGTCTAAGTGGTGAGGAGCGGAACCGTCACTTGGTTGTGCGTCTGTCACCATGGTAGACACGCATACAGGAACGAGCACCTCCCCTTATACAGCAGAGCAGGCTGCGAAGGCCGCCGCCATCCTGAAAGAGAGAAGAGAGAAGGATGCCAAGAAGAAGGCCTTGATAGAAGAACAGGCGGCGAAGTTGAAGAAGATTGAGGAGGAGATGGCCAGAGAAAAATAGAGTTTAAAGAAAGAAGAAGAAGAGAAGTTCAAGGCGGTAGAAGAGGAGGAAGAGGTAGAAGAACCGCCACTGGAAAGGCGAAGGACAAGAGGGAGAGGAGAATCCAGTGGAACGAAGGAAGATCAGATGGAGAAGAAGATTACGAAGTGGGTTGCTGGTTTATCCCTGGGAGAAGAAGAGGAGGCACTAATGTGTGTGCCTAGGGAAAAAGAAGAGGCGGCCATTAGAGAGTGGGATGCAGAAGAAGACCCACTCAAGCGGCAAACTATGGAAGATGAGAAGAGGATGGAGTGAAAGTTCCGACTGACGAGGGAGAGGAAAAGGAGAATAGAGGCGGCGAGCCAGGTGGCGAAAGAATTGGAGGAGGTAAAGAAGCAGAGAGCGCAAATGGCGACGCAGGTGGACCTACTGGGGAAGATGGAGATCATGGCGAGGAACATAGAGCGCCTGGCCCAGGTCCAAGAAGAACAATATCTGTTTGGTAGAGGTCAGGACATTGCCTTGCGCTCTATACGTCAGGGACTCAGGGACTTTGCAAGGGAATTAGCGACGCAGGTGGGCTCAGAGG